CATAAAAGATTCTTTGCATTTGCACACTATCTCCACACTAAAACGGCCTACCTTCAACTTACGGGAAACGCGATAAACTGATCGCTGCATTTGACCGCACGGTCTTCTGACGGTCCAAGTTGCCATTTCAAAGCATAGGAGTGGGGGCAAGCAAGTTCAGCTCACAAAATTCTTTCAAGAGGTCAGCTCACTCTAATTAAGCTAAGTGGAGGTTTACTATTGACCAGAATCAGTCTGCCTTCTCGTATGCAGACCTTTTACAAAAGCAGATTTACGGTCGTTGACGACTGAGTCTTTGATTCTCATAACTACTTATAGTGGATGCATGTTATTTTGAATATTGGGGAAGTATAGTAAATAGACATTTTGCTCTTACTATAATTTTAGCGTGGTCGTCTTCCTTTTTTCATCAACATGGAGGTTCTGGTGGTTTGCTCGAAGCAGCGACATATGGAAAACCGATGATCATCGTGTCGTTGTTTGGCGATCAAACGAGAAATGCCAAGCTGGCTGAGAAATTCGGGATAGGTAAACCAATTAGATCATTTGTGAACTTTAATCAAATTTTCCAGGATTTATCTTGGAGAAAACACTTTTACTAAAGAGCACATCAATAAGTGAAGCTATCGATGAAGTGCTGTACAACGAAAGGGAAAAATGTCGCAAAACGTTCGTTTTCACTAAATAGCCTAGTTCTACTTTGAGGATATTGCCTAGTAATGCTTCGGGTGTATGGCATCCTCTCCTTCTCACGAACTGCTCTTTGTCTCTTCAGATATCGTAAGTCAGGCTTGAGAATGCGTGGAATATTGCAGCGACGTGTCATCAGCCCTAAGGACAAACTCATTAAAACGGTTGAGTTCAAGCTGAGTTTGGAGCCATTCCATAATCACTCCTTTTCGGTCGGAAGCTTTCCTTTGTCATGGGCTACAACCTCGATTTGTTTGCTCTTCTAATTTTGTTCCAACCTTGCTTGTCTTTGTCGTATTGCATTTCGCATCTGGCATTTGCAGATACTTTTTATCAGACTAAAGCCGAAGGCTTCGATATCTAGCGATCCAACGAAACATTTCCACGAAGAAATAAAAATCCAGGAAAGCGCAACATTTTATGAGTTTCAAAGAGCATTCCCAGCGTCCATTTTCTTCTCGGTGATAAGCATTGACAAATTCTATAATGAGAAAAACGTCTTCTTCAAATGCAACCACACTTACAGTCGAACAAATCTAATTATCAGATAGATAGGTTTTCATTTTCGTCCTCACTTTTTAGAAAAGCTGTTGATGCGGCGAGATGCCTATATTATTGGAAAGAGCTGATCATGTTCTTTGAGATATTATTATTCATTGCAAAGGAAAGCTGAATTGCTTTGATTTATTAGCCTCCAAAATGACATTTTCGAAAGGCGAAATTTAGCGTTTGCGGCACTTCAATTTTGCTTATCAATTAAAGCGTATTGGGACGAAATGTCGATTATGGAAGATGGCATTTTAACGTCGTATGAGTTAAAAGATTGGTTTGCTCTAGAGTTGTTTCAGACTGCCGCACTGACCGTAGCAGACCGCAGCAGACTGCAGCAGACTGCAGCTGACTGCACTGACCGCAGCTGACTGCAGCAGACTGAGCTGACCGCATTGACCGCGGGGCCGCACAGATCGCTACATCCCTTTGTGAAGGTGGAGAAGATAAATAGTTGTAGCTCAAACAGTCTCCTAACAATATATGCCCCAGTAGACAACACGAGCGGGAGTAAAATAGGTACATGCAATGACAAAAGGAATCTGAACAAATATGAGCATATTATAGAAAAACAATCGCCAAAATTTGATTGAGAAGAGTAAGTCAGAACCTATGAACTTTCTAGGCGTAAATCACGGTGTTTAATGTATTCGCAACTACCTCCTCTTTTACGAAAGGATGCAGCGATGGTGCGGTCAGTGCGGTCAGCTGCAGTCTGCTGCAGTCTGCTGCAGTCTGCTGCAGTCTGCTGCTGTCAGTGCAGTCAGCTGCAGTCAGCTGCAGTCTGCTGCTGTCAGTGCGGCAGTATGAAACAACCCTTAAACAAACCAAAGGTTAAATAAAGTGTTCGAGAATAAGGCTTTCGTTTGAACGGGCAGGATATGCGCTTAAAATTGCTGAAAAAGGAGATGTCAACCACAACCGATGCAACCCAATGCACCGCCTAAACAAAGCATTGCAGAAAGGACACAATAGACAGTAGTAGTGAGTTTTTTCGCATGATGAATCGTACGGCAAGCCGTCAAAGATGTTCTGCAAGACTTGATCGGGAGGTGCATTGGCACCCAATGTACTCCTTGGATCTCATTTCAGCAGATTGTCATTCTGCTCTCTTGCAAACCATAAATGGGCGTTTTAGTTCTGAAGACGATTTCAGGTGTTTGGACCAAACCCGGCCAAGTTTTGAAAAAATGGATTCAGAATTTTGTTGCAACCCTATACTCGCTGTTCTACCTACTGAATAGCCCAGCGCCTGTGCGAGTGTACTACGCTGCTCACCCATTGTCGCTACCATGCCCTACATGAATGTTATGGGGCTAAGGGTGGCGTTGCTCTCAGAAATCGCGCTACGTGGGCTGTGCGCGATTAGAACTCTTACACGACTACAGATTACAGATTACATTACACGAATCTCAATGGCAAAGAGACATTAAAAGGTTAGTAACTACTTTTAGAAGCAGAAAACCGGAAAGAGCCTATCGTGCGGATGCCAACGGTTGAACAGCACAATGAATCTCGATTAGCGAGGGCTTGCGTTACAGATCTGTCGCAGAAAGCCAAAGCTTGAGCCGATGTCGCTGCTCCTCCTCCTTCCACAAATTTGACTTATCCCTCTGTCGAGCGTGGATGCTTTGTGCAATTGTATATAACATCTCCTCTGGTTATCTTACATTGGCTTGAATACTTGCTAGCGAAGTAATTTCAAGCAGGAGCTGAAGCGTAGCGTATTCCAGAAAAAATATCTAACCAATGGAGAAATAAAATAGAGAACACTGAAATCCAGTGAGAAGCTGTAGCAGTGTATAACCGTTTTGTTGATCGTGCCAAAGAATAGTATTGCAAAGGTGATCGCGGCATACACTGAGTACCGTAGTCGTCCGTAGTAGTGCGGCAATCAGTGCTCCGTTTTCGTAATTTGACGAGCACCTGCAGCGCTAGCCGTAGCACTGCCAGCACCAAAGTTCATCCAAACTTGTCTTTCAGTCTACACATTCTTTAAAGGAACCTCATCCGATTTCCGCTTGTGACTATGAATATTAAATCATGCATTTACTAAATATTCTAGTGACATAATAGACGGCATCTCGGAGTTTTAGTGTCCACTGTTTCCTGTACCTTTGCGTTCGGCTCATGAGTTTCCCTTTCATATTCGTACTTCTTCTACTAACAATGCCAATCCAATCATTCTTGCTACCAAAAAGTCAGCCAGGTTCAGTGTCATGCAAAAAGACCGAGTTTGGAGTATTTTTCATTTATATGCTAATTGCCTATAAGTACTCTGATTTTAAGAGCATCTTGTTAGCGGCTGAAACATTATGCGAATGATATACTTTACTACAAGTTTTTCTATCCGACACATCCAAACGCTTACCTTAGATAAAATCAAGCTAATTTACACACTGCATAAGCTACTATTGCTATATCTACATACTATGAATGAGGAAGTTTGCTCATTGGAACTGCGCTGCATTACTTACCCGCGATATATCAAATTGAAACAAGCACAAATCCAAAACGCTCTTGAAAATAGCGCAAACTTAGAAAACAGTCGAGTCTTCTGCTACATAATTAAGAGTGTGCACATTTCTCTCGGGACCTCGTGACCCTCTGCCGCAAAGATCAGGTTGCGTTTATACTGATCCCGGAGCTCCGCCACATTTCCATTAAAGTACTCGAGCTAAACCGAAACCGTGCTGCATGTGCTCCGGCAGCTCAGTAACGAACGACGGGAAGTAGCAACTTTCGACTGTTCCCAACGGTATTTATTGTAAACTTGCAGCTTTTGGCCTCATTATTGCATCACGTTTCCTTATGTGATGAGAAAAGTTCCAAACTTGAGCTAGATTCCAGTTTGAACACTAATTCGTTCTGTTGTTGTTGGAAGCTATCTCAGATAGTAACTGCTTTCATTTTGTACTTTACTCCATTCGCTTTTTCACCAAAAGCGGGAACTTCAATTGAGAATGAACGAGCAATCAGTAAAAATTGTGAAAAAACGCTTTGACGCAAATTCAATCACATTGAAACGAGGAAAAATTCGCAATATCCGTTATCGTAATGACTGTGTTAGTTCATCTTCATAACCGCTGGCTATATGGAAGACGCAGCGATTTTCTGGAGTACGAAAAATTCGACCAAAAGTATCTAAAGAAGAACGAATGCGCGAGAAAAAATACAATTCTCACGCAACCAAACCTAACTCCACTTATGAGGCCTTTTATCCAATAAACAAGCGAGGGATAAGGAAACAAACGAACAGAATCTACCATGAAAACATACACGGTCAAAAGTCGCTATATCCCTCCGCGCAATACCGCATGCGGGCGGCTGCAGCGCATGTAGCACAGTTTTGGCGCAATTCGGGCACCGTGATGGAACTGTGCCAGAACTTCCGGACCAGTAAAAGAGGCTTAGTGGAGTTGATCTAATGCGAAAGAAGAAAAATGCCGGTATGTACCTCCTACAAATTATCAGCACTGCATGCTCTCAAAAGAAAAGCAAAAGAATTTTTGAATTGTGTAACTAGCGGGACAGTGTGGTAAAGATGCGCGGGTGACATGCAGTGCATATATAGAATTACAAATGACTCGACTGTACATTACTGTAATGACGCAGCCCTACGACAAATCGAATTTTTCCCTGTCATAAAATCGATATCCACTCACCCGATCTCAGAATTACCTATGCACAATCGATAATTAACTGTTTGCATACTACCCTATATAGGAAGAAAATCGAGGAACATAATAATCACAGCGTAGTCATTTTTTCAGAGGCAGCGACTCTAACCGAGCCGGTCGCCGTGCGCTCTGCGACCTTCCATATATATCATCCGAATATACAACACCATTGAGCAAATTGTCAAAGGTGGCTGTTTTGTTTGGGAAGTATGACTTCACATCTAAATTTGTAACCTTATGACCCTTTAGAAAAGGCTACAAGAACGAAACTTACCGCAACTCCGGGCATGCCCATCGCGATACTTGCTTAGCACATTACTCTGTTTGATTGGTTTGAAGTAGTTGTTGGCAATGTTCTCTTCCTCACTTTTCGCGAGCTTCTGAGAAAAGCACACTCAAGACTATTTTGTTTGCAAACATCTTGGTTAGCGATTAGACGCAATATAAGTATCAGCTTAGCTTTACTGGACTCTACGACGAGAAATTGGTGGACCGGGGTAAATGAGGATTAGGCCAACATATGACATTCTCTGAGCTCAACTGAGCTTATCCGACATCAGAAAACCAATTATTCCGCTCAATGGCTTAAATGAACAGTAGACAGGTAGTGAGAGTTTGTATAAAAATAAAAAGTTTAGCAAATCGAAAATGCCGCAGGTATCTCGACCTCGGTTGTCAAAGACAGTCTATCCAATCTGGCAAACTTTTCGCGAACTTTTGGCCCGTCAAAGCTCTCGTTAGAAAATTGGGTACTTTTCCATTATCCGGACCCATTTTTTCAAAAGGCTCTCATATTATACGTTCTCTAGCTAAGAACATTTTTTCAAAAAATTCTACATGGACTGCCTCCTTGCCACGTGTCACGATAAAATTGACACGTTTTAGTCCATTGTGACAAGCTTTTTTGAAATCATTTCCGGTGAGATAAAAGAGAATTTGTCATTTTAAAGCTGTTTTACTGTTTTATCTAAGCACAAAACAATAGTGAACTTATTCTAGAACATCCTGCTTGCGTTTAGCAGTGACTCAAGAATGTATTGCTCTTTTAGCCCTTTTCGCCATGCGAATTTAGCCGAAGAGACTATAAATGATAGCTTGAAGTACCTTGCTGCTGCTTACTTAGCCTCTTAAATGACGGGATCCTAGCGCACTTCTCTATTCTGAGCAAGTCTAACGTGTTCATTGAGAACAGTGTGTAATTATATGACAATGTTCATTTTGAGATTGATTGGTCCGAAATCAAGCCATAATCAACTAAAAAAACAGGTCAAACTTACATCGCTAGGTAGAGTAAAACAATTCTTGATAAAACCTGTTAAACATGTGATGATATGTCAAATTTTTTTGACACGTGGCAGAATGTTGACACTCCTTCCTGTGAAGCTTGGACAAAATATGGTACAAGGATAGAAGCAACATCTTTCTTTGAAAAAATGGGTCCGGATAACGAAAAAGTACCGAAAGTTGTCAAAAGAACTGGTAACCTAACTGTGTGATCTGCAAGAGTTTTGGACAAGTTCGCTGCTTTATTTTAAACGTAATTCCACACCATACAGGTCGTCACCAAATCTTGCGTAATCTTTTATGTAAAGCTAAAGGTCTGTTTGTATGTATATCTGTATCTCTATCTGTATCTATCTATCTATCTATCTATCATACATCTGTATGTTTGTCTACACGTATGTTCCGAATGGAAATTTTCTTCTGAACCGATCCAGACCGAACCCGGCACATATACATTTCGGGGTGGGGGGCGTGTCATCGGTTAATTATCGTTGTCGATAGATACCAATGTTATCCATTTTTTACAAACCTTGAGCTACAGGGGTAAGTGAACATGCCGATTATGAATCGAATGTCAGAGTCAAGAATATTCGGTTCCCTTTACAGATTTTATCGATTATTTCAAAGTTTGGGCTACGGGACTGGGAGCTGGCATAAGGGAGTAAGTGAGCAGCTTTATAAGATCAACTATAAGCAATAAAAACCTTTACTGGTTTTATCGATTTTTTGCAAAGTTTGGGCTAACGGGAATTGGGCAGAGGAGAGGGTTGGGGAGGGGGGGGGGGGAAGGGGTAAGTGAGCATGCTGATCACGAAAAATGGAGACAAGTTATCAGGTACAGACATATAAAAAGGACCGCGGCAGGGAATCTATGTAGGAAATGGGGCAACATGATTTCCATAGGTATTGACAGGGCCTGGCGGAGCCGGGTATGCCAGCTACTCAGACAATTGCCGGGGCAGGCGGACCGCAAACTCGCGTTTTCTTGCAGGCGGTCAGCAGATTTCTGGGGCGTGGCCAAACCTTCAGCAAGCGGTATTTCTGTGTTCTGCCAGCAAGCAGCAATACAAAATCTTCTGCAAGTGTTCGTCAAATAATTTCTTTCAGCAAGCGCGGGCCAAACTTTTAGCAGGCACTCGGACTCTTTTTACGCAGTTTCGGGCGCACGCCGAACGAAGGTGAGACTCTGCATAACAGAGGTGTCACCGATGATTCATTTACCCGAATTTGGGGTAATTTTTCTCAGCGGAAGGTACCTATGGGCTGTGCGGTTCTTCACAAAGGACCGCGCGGCCCTCGAAAATTTTGCATATTCTCGCGGAAAGTCCGCGAAAGCGGCCACTGCGCCGCAGCTAATATAAGAAAACCGCGATTGTTTTTTTAAGTATTCGTCTAAAATTTCGCTAAAATTCTTCTAAATATCTACAAGTGGACCGCAAGAAATCAGCAAACTATTTTTCCGGTGCCCGTCCGCCCATAAATCGCATGGCCGCCTGCTCCCGGCGATTATCTGAGTTGTGGTCCGCTTGCAGAAACTTAGAAGAATGTTGGCCAATTTTTAAACGAATGCTCGGAAAACAATGGCGGTTTTCTCATAGATTAGTTGCGGCGCAGTGGCCGCATTTTCGCGGACTTTCCGCGAGAATATGCAATACTGAGGACCGCACGTTCTTTTGTGAAAGACCGCCGCAAGCCCGTAGATACCTTCCGCTGAAAGAAGGTACCCCAAGCTCGGGTAATTAAACCACCAATGACACCTCTCCCACATAAAGCCTCATCTTTGCTCAGCGTACGCCTAAACTGCGTTAAAAGGGTCACAACGCTTGCTGAAATTTTGGCCAGCGCTCGCTGAACGAAATTATTTGCCGAGCGCTTGCAGAAAATGCTATGCTACTGCCCGCTGGCAGAATATGCGACAGTAAGGAAGTACCGCCCGCTGAAGGTATGGCCACGCCCCAAAACTCTGCTAACCGCCTGCAGAAAAGCGCGGGTTTGCGGACCGCCTGTCCCCGGGGATTGAGCAGTTGCAGGTATAATATGCAACACAGTACATGAAAACCTACTAATCTGAGCTTGGAACTGTCTTCGTCGTACATGTCACGCAAAAGAGGCTCGCTTCTGTTGCTCGGAGAAATGCCTAGAATAAGTCAGCAGATTCGATCCAAATAAGGAGAAAGTTTACCATTGTGTGCATTTGGCAGTACAGTTCTTGAAACGCTCATCTCTGGTAATACCCATTTACATTCGTCTTCGTTCCATATAGCATCCTTCTTTACCCGTTCAATGTTGTAGTAATTCGAGTCCTAGAATAGAAATAAGCAGAATCAGCTTAGAATCACAAACTAGAATATGCCTTGCCTTTCTAATAACAGGTTGAACTTTTTCCAGTATTTGAGATAGGAGCTTCAGTTGTTGGTCTTGTTTGCGTATTGTCTCCAAATAATCTAGTCGATCTAGTTCAAATTCGCCTTGAAGATCTTCAACCTCGGATTCGAGCGCTTTTGACTAAATAAAGCGGAAATTAACGGAAGAAAAAGCGAACATTGTGTTCTGTACTCACTCTGTTTTTCTCTTTTTGCAGTTCAGCGGTGACAGCATCGAGTTTCTCTTGCGTTGAACTATAGACTTGCAACAATGGATCGTCCTTATTGACATTCAAAGCGGCTAAACTGATATCGTTTAGGAGTGGAGGTAAGAAAATCAAAGGCTACTGCATGACGAAGGCGCAGAAGCAGTATTAGTTGGGCGGGCGCGAACGCGACGCGCGTATCTTCACATTGTAAATCCAGCGCCGCGTGCGCTCTGCGGCTAGGCCGCGTTCGCGCCCAAAAATATTGCGCTTTCATTATGCAGCAGCTTATACGTCATTACCTGCCAACCGTTGCATTTTTGACTCTGCTTCTTTCAATTTCGTCGTTCTCTTTTGCTTCAATTGCTCATTGTTGGCCTAAACGGACAAACATTAGCAACAGAGCAACATATTCTGTTATGCTCAAATTTATGGGAAGTTTCAGTTTTTTTTGTAAGTAAATTTTTCATAATGTACCTGTTCTCCACCAACAAATTGTTGTTGCAGCTGTTCCAGTTTCCGTGCAGCTTCTGACGGATCTAATCCTTCCATAGTATCCAGATCGGAGTTTGCCTAAATTGAGAGAGTTAAGAGATTGCTCACCTTCTGAACTTCGCATTCTGGCATTCACTTTACAGAGCAACACTTTACTTTTGAGTTCTGACTTTGAGACTACTATTGTGACAGAGATATAATAATAGCAGGTGAATGCAGTCATTTTTTAAGTAAGAATAGGTCCGGTAAGCGCGAAAATAGTAAATGTGATTTTAGTCATTAAGGGATGCAAGGATTTAAATTATTATGGTCTAAACAAGAGCAAACTTCAATTGCTCCTGAGAATTACGCCAATCAAGCAACGCGCAAATTAGATGCTGCTCCATATTTTTTGGATGCGAGAATTGCCCTGAAAATTTCAGTTTCCTTTGGTTGTTCGCATTAAGTCAGATCATGTATAAGAAATCAGACTGAAGGGCCAGACATACTTCACGCGATTTCAGTCGCGACGCGATTTGGCAATTGGTCAGAAGTCTTCAGATCCAACACTAGCAAACTGCACATGCATAGTGTGTATAACATACTTGAATTGATAGAATGCCTTATTTTCTGTACATTCAAAATGTGTCTACAGTGATGGACAGTTGGAATATTGCCAAAGCGCGTCGCGACTAAAATCGTGTGAAGTATGCCCAAAACATTTGATAAGCGCAACTGACATAGCGAATGAGCCAAAGTAAGTAAGTTATGCTGCTATGGCAATCCTTTTTTTCAGATTTGGGCGTTACGAACTTGAATGAAATATATTACGAACTTAAAATGAACTTGACGTTTGTCTTAATTGCTTTACGTTTTTGACCCTAGAAGAGCTAGTAATTATTTTTTAGCCTTACAAATAACTAACCTTTTCATACTGTTCCTTCAACACTTGCAGCTCATGCGCAAGTTCCGCTTTGCTCATTTGCTCCTTCTGATACTCATTCCTGCAATGAAAAAATTAATGGGAAATTTATTACACAACGAGAAACAATTTTATAGCAAAAGCAAATAATTCAAACACTTACCTTAGCTCAGTCATAGTTTCTTCGAACTCCTCGCGCAATTTCGCTCGTTCTGCTTCCACGTCAAAGGCCGCAATGGCCGCTTCTGGAGCATTGCCTATTCAGATATGATTTGCAGGCATTCCAACACATTCACAACATATGGAGCACAATAAAGATAGAACGGAAGCTGTCAAAGTTGCTTTTTCAAATTCCAGCGTTTAGGAATTACTCGTGTGCAGCGCTGGGCTAGCCCCTTTCCAGCGCGGTTCCGTGATACGTCGCCAAAGTGGGGCTAACACGGCGCTGAACGGGCAACTTCAGACGCAGCCCTGGGAATCATGACATACGATTAGCTCCTGGTACAAGCATGGCTTTTAATCGTTCAATTTCCTCCTGGTACTCCCGCAGCAAAGCATCCTTAGGATCCTCGTTGATTTTCGGCTTGTTTTTAATGTTCTTGGCACGGTTGGCGTATCTAAAAAGTCATTTGTAGCATAGCAGAGCGTCGGGACAACTGGTAATTCACCTCAGTGTCGAGAGCGTTTCATCGTAGTTGTTATCAGATGGCGAAATGCAGGCAATCATTATCGTTTTCGTGTTACCACCGAGCGAATCCTGGAATTAATCGCATTACATTAATATTAAGCAGACAAAATATCTGGAAAGGGTAGATATTGGAAAATTCTTTTGAACAAAGGAAACCTGGAGCAGTCGCGTCAGTTTTGAATCACGATAGGGAATGTGCTTCGACTTTCCATCCACTAGTGCTGAGATCACGTTTCCGAGGGCAGAGAGGGAGAGATTGATCTTAGTGGCTTCTTTGAAACGATCACCAGTAGCTCCTGAAATCATAAGAATAACATCATGTTTGCTCGACATTAGCAGTTTTTTCCCATCCGAACTGCGAACAGAGGCGTATGGAAAACTAGCTCTATATGCTGTGCAATTGCTGTGCTGTCTCAGCCAGCATTCTTATGTATTTGTAAATCTCTATTAATTATTTTTCTGGCAGGCTCAAGATGAGGTGGAAGGACAGAATCAGTGCCGACTTGCGAGAACTTGGGATAGACGAAAACCTTGCTTCAGATGGGAAATAATGGAGACAAGAAAAGCAGACCCTGCATAAGCGTGAAACTTGCGAGGATAAAAAAAGTTAGATATTTTTCTGAACTCCAGAAAATTATTGCTCGATTGTTCTTTGACCTTAGAATAATAAACACTGTCGGTATAATTTTGGTAATAATTCTAAGCCAAGCTCAAAGTGCCTATACCAAAGCAGTGTCGCCGTGCCAGAGTTTGATTGGTCATTACAGGACTCATCTCGGTTTCCGGCGCGGCGCTGGAGCGACGCTGACACAACGTTGGCAATTCTGGACGCTGTTTATAGATAAAATCTCTACTAACGCACCAGTCTTTGATTGTCGTTCACTACCAGCCAAGTCGACGAGATTCAACTTTCCCGTTCGTATTGATCCGCTTTCGTTCATCCCTTCTACGTAAACGGTGAATATCGAGTGGCTTCTCGACGAGTCCTGAATATCTTCTCTTCCGCCTTCGGAAACTCTTTTATGAACAAAAAAAAGATGAATAACATAGTTATAATTGCCAAAGCCATATCAGACTGTACGCTCTCCGTTCCAACAGTCAAGTTGTGCAATTACACAGTTCTGAAGTTTTGAGCACCTCACACGGAGTCATTATCATGAATGCGGAAATCTTCCCGCGGAAAAAAAGCGTCGGCTTGAGAGTCATCGGCTTGCCAACGCAAAGTCAAAATGATAAATAAAACAATTACATAAACAGATTGCTGAGGTAAGAACTGTGCGCCTCAAAAGTCCCATTGCAAGGATGTATCTCCCACTTTATTCATCAAAGTAGCTCCAACATGCCGATTATTGAAACCTTTCTCCATAAGTTCATGACATGATTTGACGTCGTGACAAACATGCATCGAAAGTCCAGCTACATAGACTCCTCTTTCTGCGTGTTCCTATAGAGTGAAGGTGGTCAAATTTCGACTGAAGCAGAATTCAAAAAAAAAACCTTGATTTCAAGCTTTTGATTTCTATCGGCACCTAGGAGATCGCGAACTTCTTCGTTGTAGATCTGGAATTGTATACATAGTTACAGATAAACAAGAACTATTAGACGAACCTCCAAATAACTGCAATGGATCAAAAACTTCTTGTGTTCAGTAGTGGCAGTGGCAAGAAAAATATGCTCAAACGCTCTAGGAATTATGCCCCGTTGAGCCGGGATGTCTGGCGCTCCTACAACACCTAGTCCTCAACTGGATAGCAAGTTTGCTTTCGTTTTTCACAACCAATAATATAAAAGCTACCTTGCATTGAGAAAGTTTTTCCAGAGCCTGTTTGTCCGTAAGCGAAAACTGTCCCATTATATCCCTCGATGACGTTCTGCAAGGTAGTGTGTAGTACATGAAAGGCAATATAAGGCAGCCCTAGAGCTGCCCATTCTCTTGTGCCAGTGCCGTGCTAATGCCGTGTCGTGCTAGCATCGTGCCCGATTTGCTTAGAGACTATCTGACATGGAACTAGCACGGTGCTGGCACGAACAGCTTTACACATCGTGTAAGCGAAAATGTGGCACCTCAACGAGTGGATAGACGATGTCGTTGTAAATTTGTTCTCCAGTGGCATCCATGAAGTATGCGCCATCGAATGTAAACATTTTTGGAGGTCCATCCGACAGCAGTGTCACCTGCGCAGATCCTGGATTCATTTCCACGCATATCTGAATTTATTTATTGATTATCTTCGTGATTAAATATTTGTAATCAATCATTAGTGGTTGAATATTCGATATGGATTACTCTTGGAATCGAGCCAATGCAGCTGAACTTTTGCAACAATGGAAGACTAAGATTTATGAAGCTTCAAAGAAAGCTCTATAGAAAACAAGGATATATGGAATGACCAGGTTCCTTGTCACCAACTAGCAAATCATGCAGAAGTGGACATTTTCGCACATTCGAGTGTCACGGGACACTTTAACACCTCTCCAGCATAAAAATGTTACATTAGAGTATGATCGACTACATGTTTATTTCACAAAGGAAGAAAAAAAAAGAATTATTGGTGCTCCGTGGGGCATGATTATCGGAGGCGGTGTGCCTGGAATCTTTAATGTTTGTAGCGATTCTCAGCAATGGTAAATCGTAGAGCTTTGTTGTTTGTAGTTGGTCTCAAAGCAGGCTCATTACTGTGAAGAAAAACACAATTTGTCTGCTGCAAGTAAAACCATTCTCCTGTTTTTTATGGACAATATTGCATTAGTTGACTTAGTTTCAAATTCCAAGCAAGTCTCAAAGAAGGAGAAGAAAGCAGTACATTTGTCAAATGAAGTTAAGTATATGCGATAAAGAAAAACCAAGAAATGAGCAAAAGTTATGTGAGTCTTAATTATTATGCGTGATTGTTCATTGAAAGCTAGAATTTCCCAAATTTTCAGTTATTTCGGTTCTTCCGAACGCATTTGTTCATTACCATCTTCTGTCCCCGCATTATCCAACTTTTGAAATGAGACTTTCAAAAAAGGGAAAGGCGTTTGTGTAGGAATAAAGCTATGTCGATGATTTCAAAGCGTAGATCACAGAGGAAATACAGCTATTATAATGAGAACAGAAAGGTTCAAAAAATAAAATTTAATTAGTTGGTCACTGCCTTATAAGTTTTGCTGACCGATCAAAAAATACGGCCGAAACTTGCAAGACCTGGTAATAGATAAAGGACATGAGAAAATATGTAAGCAGGTAGCGGCTGCCCAAGAATCTTTTGCAATGCGGACGAGACAAAAAAGTTTGCTGCGAAATAGGGTTGACGTAAATTTTTCAATATTTTGATTACTTACAAGTAAAAACAAATCACTTGCAGAATTTTACACAAAGCATGCTAGCTCATTTTTCCCTCCCTTGTCACGTTGATCTCCCCGTCGATCAGGAATCAAAGTCCGTGTTCCAATCAAGTGAACATTCTTATGCATCAAGTTCCCACAACAGATCGAGCACGCGTCCCCGTGATTATTTCGATTCGCCCGTAATTGGTACGTATTTTTCATGCCGCCGGTATCTATGGAAATACGAGTGTGATAGGGAAACCTGGCGAATAATGAGAAATTCTCGCTAGCTGTCGTCATAATGCGAACTAGCGTAACGAACGATGAGGCATGCGAGATTGAATAGTTAGGAACAAATTGAAATCTTCTAGGAAGTTGTAATAGTTGGAGTAGTTGATGAGAGGACGAAATAAACTCTATCGAAAAGCGCGAGCATAGCTTCTGTGGCTTGAAACTCTCTTTTCACAATCATTGCCAATTTTCCACCCCTTTTTTCTGATACTCCGGTTTTTGAAAAACTACGAAAAAACTACTAAACTACCAAACTACTAAAAACTATTGTATATAGAGTTTTGGAGAGTCTGTACAAACTTTCTGGTGGTTGATAACTAGAATTCGATTTAGCTTGTCGACTTTTTGAAACGTTTTGTAGAGATGTCCGCGAATTTGATTCACACAAAGGAAAAAATCAGCGATTTCGCTTCCATATTGTAAGAGTGAGAAATGAAATTTGACGAGGGTTTCAAGCCAATCGAGTGCCGAATTTTGCCGAAAAAAATTCAGAAGATCCAAGAAACTGAGGGAATAAGTAAATGGTAATGCTGTAGTAAGTAAATCAGAAAAGCTGTTGTGGAAATCAACTACAAGTTCCGTAATTTCCCACTCAGAAAGTCAAGATAGAAACATTTCAATTCTCACTGTTCGTCAAAACCTTGACTTCTAATGCAGCTTTAAAAGAAAGTATGCAATCCATTTCGAGATCCATCGTGCTTGTTAACCCATTATAAAACTTTGAAGCAGTTTTGACTGGATTCTATCAGAATTACAAGGCGTAGGAGGATTTCTACAGTGATCCTACAGTAACCAAGGCCTATCGGCAAACTTCAACAATTGATTGTCAAAATGATGGGATACACGCTTCCAGAAACTAGAATCCATAACGTATGCCCATAATTCTTTGTGGACCCCCAGGTTTTCTGAGTAAACAATTCCAAGAATTGTACTTAATGTCAAATACGATTTTTTCGAAAATAAATAAGAATCTAGAAGCAATACCAATAGCAAATAAATCTAATTCCACAACTTCTTATACAATCTTAAGAAGTACTTATCGAATTTCTTTTCTTTCGATCCATTCTATAACCAACGGTAGTTATGGTGATATCACTTCTTTAGAGAATGTGCAGCAAAACAAATTGTAAATTATGGTTTTGTAGCCAACATCCAACATTTCGAAGGAAAAAGAAAGCTTCTTGCGTCAATTCGTGTGAAATTTCTACGATTTCTCTTACCAGAAAGTCTTTTGCTTGCTACGAATTTTTTCGTCTACACTCATTTAAAAATCTTTTTACTAATTGTAGCGTAAGAACGCTGAGGACGCTTACGTAATTCTCAAATTTTCAATATGCTTTGCATGATTTTTCGTCCAAAATACGAAATAATAGTGCTGACAAAGCTAGTTGCTGCAGAGCCTTTACGTACTCACGGAGAAAAACCTTTCTGACAATGTCGCTATTTCGTCACTGGAACATTAGAGCTGACAAAGAAGTCAAAGAAGTAGATTTGATTTGCTTTCTTGACTTGTTGACTCGCATAAAAAAGAACTAGCGAAATTAAAAGCATTAAGCTGAGCGGAAAAAAGGTATGGTGAATGATCTCATGCTATTTCAGTTGCCGAATGCGGAATAAATGGAAGGATCAAGTCTAGAGCCTGATTTTCAAAAAATCCGCTAAATTTTTCGGAATTCTGCTAAACTAGTCCTGTAAGCTAATCGAGTTAATGATTAATTGTTGATTGTTGATGATTTGGATTGATTGATTGTTAATTGATATTAATTGTTGAGTAACAGTCGATTGTTAATGATTTAGATATTGCCAGCAACCTGCATAAAATCATTTTCAGTGCCATTCATATCCTGAAGAATTTGCGTCACTAAGAAGGCGGATCAGGTGTTTTACTTGATAGTTTCGATCAAAAAATAGGGTAAATGACGTACTCTGTTGGTTGCACCGGTTATTCAATTATATGTTCTCATAGTTCTCAAAAACCAGGAACGGAATCTACTGGCAGTGATTCTTACCGTAGCAAGTGATTTGAACTTTTATTGCCCGAGTAATAAAATTTTTAGACTTATAGTAAACTCTCCAGAAAATTAGCGTAATAAGGAAGTGAAAAATGATACCGGGCAAAATGGCAATTATTCCGCTCAATTCAGTACATGTCCTCTTTGATTTCATGCCTCTAATTTGGCGCAAGTTCAAAACTTTCGAAAACGGAATTAAAATTGTTCACAGATCAAATTAGGGAACATAGTGCTCAGAGTGAGCTCAACAAAGAAATCGAGAGTTTTCTGCTTTTTCATGCTATGCTCTTTTTCTGCAAGGAAAAAAACAATAGATGAAATGAGGCGTGAACTCGTCTTTTATTTTTTGGTGAAACGCGTTTTGTCCAAGCAAAGCTTTGAAAGCAATACTCTTTATTGCTTGAACTGAGTCTACTATTTTTGCTTCATATGGAATTCGTCGTTCAGCAGAGTTTTCAAAAGCTGTGGAAATGCAAGTCATGCTAGTATTGCCTATATACTAGCCTAAGAACTATTCTAAATAAGGTTTGCTATAGCAAATCTGAACTAGGAAGTCAAGTGTGTAAACTACAAATCTATATGTACTACGTTCAAGGAATTGCTTGTGAGTATAACTCTGGCATTATAAGGTGGAGCAGTAGATGATCTCTTGTGAATGTGATACTTGTCATGAGTCTCATCTAAAAGGCAATATCATATTTTTCAAACATAGCAATTTTGAGGAAGAGCTATTCTTGAGGATAGTCCAAATTTTCAGCTATTGCAAACCTACTTACATTGAGTAATAAGGCATTTAATAGCAATTCAAACTGTGAAATACATGAAATTTTGGACCATAGATCAGCTTTCAAGAAACTCTCAAGAAATTTCAGCACCCTGGATTGTCGATTTTTACAATACACGTTCACACTTCTCGCTGAATCTTATTTTTTTCTTAAAACTGCGCTAGTTCAAGAAATTGTGGGTGCTCAAAAACCGCAACTATTTTTTTAATGGGTGTAGCTATGTAGCTAGCTAGCCTCCCTGTTGCAATACGACCATATCGATGTAAATTTTCAAAACTGTATTTAATACGCTGTCTCGAGCCTAACTGCTTTGATACACTATCCCGTACTTTCTTTTGCTTTGTGCATCAAAGTACGAGCGCTTTCTTTGTTGTTTTTTGAATGCCTAGGACGACTGGCGCCATAATAACAATGTTTCATAGTAATATGGATTCTAGATAAAGATAAGGATAAGGATATCTCTCAAAGTTTTGGTGGGAGTTTGAAACTTTATAAATTTTATCTACAGTAGCCAGGAGATTGGAACAAATCACGAATGTACAAATATGGACTCACCTTTGAGTTCAACGCTTTTTCGCGATCGTTGAGTGGACGACATCGCGAGATGACACGAACGCTTTCGGCCATCGCTCCTACACAACGCGGTTCGTCGACACGACGCGAAACACCTGAAGTCTTCGCAGCCCCTCAGGCGTCGGCACGCCCTAGCAACGAAGTCGACGACTACGTTTTCTCACACCAAACTCGAAAGCATGCTCGTTGTTCGTGTGAGTACGCATGATTTCTGCACCCCCAACGCTTGCGCAAAGAGTAAAAAGACAGAAAATTTCTTTGGTACTCCAGAAATCAGTCGCTTGCATGAGCCATCGCCATTTTTTACTTTTTACACGTTTTTTCATTCTTCATGGGTTGTTGCCAAATATGATGAATCCATCTAAGGGTGATCATGGATATGCATACGTAATTCCAGTTGACGCAAGGAGGACCATTATTTCTTTTCCCCAATCGTAACGAGATCCAGGACAACGCAACAGCATACGTGGACGTCCGCTCTTTGACTTTTGAAAAGCCTTCCGTTGCACCAATCTTTGTTTTTTTCCAAGGGTCGTCCTTCACTATCCTTGGTCGATGGACCAGGATTGGAAGTTAACTGACCGTTTGCCGTGAGGTTGAAAGCAAAGGTGTGAGTACTACACATGATGAAAAAGCGTCCAAGGCACATTTACCATATACGGAGACCCACCGTTGGGTTGTAACCGTCGTTCCTTTCGGAGAGGACATCCTCATAAAATACATTGGCTCTTGGGGTAGTATGCGTTTTGATACTCTAGTTTAACAAATTTATAGTGGTTCATGAAATTTTGCCGCCTAAATGGATTTAGGTGGCAAAATTTACAAAAATTAGGTATTTAATTATTTATTATTCATTAGAATTGATTATCTATTTATCTAGTTTTATCAATCAACGAGCTGGCACTCCGGGCAACCCCCTACTGAAGCCTTTATAGTGCTTGACCTCTCATGTAGTAAAACTTAGCCTTCTTTTGATTCCGACTCATCTTTTCGCTTCCTACCTCCTTAACATATCTTGATCACCAGCAGATCAAAATGACTTTCACCGCTCTTCATGACTATAGAAAATGTGCACAAACACACAAATTTCCTCTTTTATATATATAGAGAGATTATTGAATTCTTGAATCATTAACATATGATAATAATTTTTAACATTATTGATGTCGGAGGCACATAAAAGAGTGCTCCATATATGTGGCAAGTTTCACAAACATTACTTATTTTAATCAATCCATTATTTATTGATTATGAATTTATTTAAGAATTGAATTCCAAACTTTAATCCTCACAAGGAAGCTCTCCCTAGCTCAATAAAAATAATTGCAGTTTGGACCACTAGCGCCCATTGGTGAGTTGTACAAAACAACAAAAAAGCTTTGGTCCAAATTTCAGAAAATCAAAAGCTGTTTCGTGTGAACGCGCTAATGAATCCGCATATAGCTAGCCCATGACAAGCAAATACTCAACAAACGTCGAGATTCTGTCAATACACAACTCTCAACTCTATCTGTTGTTTGCTACATTTAGTGCTCAGTAATACTTTCCTGCAGTTTAAAGGTCCTAGAAGTTACTTTGAAGACGATAACTTGTGGAGGCAATGAGGCAACGCTATCATTTTCCTTTTTTCACATTTCTGTGTCCGGCAGCGTGTTCCAAAAATCAAACTGTAACTGTTTTCTAATTTACTTTTCCTGCAGTATAGAGAAGACAAGGCAAAATGTCTATTCTCGGTGATCGACATATAATAATTTTTTTCTCCTCTCTCCTCGATGGCCTACTTTCTTCTACTACTAACCATTATAGTAGTGATCGTTAACCAATTCATTACCCTTTGATTTTTCACTGTAAAGCCAGATCCGATTATCTTAGCGTCAGTAACATTATGATCGAATAGGGGTTGTCGAGTTTGTTATGCATGACTAAAAAAACGGATGCGCAAAGTAACAACCTTGTAAAGATAGTGACTGATGGTGGACTTGGACTTAAAACTCTAAGTCGTTCTGTTTAACTATGTGAATTCATGATTTATTCTTTCAAACATGAAGCGATTGACAATTTCTTACTTGCATATCACAGCTAGTCCTCACTCTGTATTAGTTTCATAAATTCAAAGAATTTTCATTCTCGTACTCATTTTAAAGGATGGTTGATTTGCGGCAAGATGCGTATATCACTGAGAAGATTTGATTATGCTCTCCAGAACAAACTAGTTACTTTCGGTGAAAAACTCATATGCTTTGGTTTGTCACTCTCCAAAGAAGGATTTCTCAAAAGGCAAAAAGAAGCATGTCTGGCACTTGCTCAATTTATCTTATGAAATAAAGCATTTTGCGCAAGTTTTTTGCCGGTTCTGGACGATGGCTTTTCCTCGTCAACGAGACAAAAAAATTGGAATGCTTTGAAAAACAAAGAGCTTTCAGGGTATCCCCTGAACAAGACTTTTTGCAGGTTGTGCGGGAGATTCTGCCCCGAGAATTGCTAGGCCAGAAAAAGACGTTCGCCCATAACGTACGCAACCATATGGCCAGTCTAAGCAAATTCCTACCGTAGAAGAGGCCTAATAAACAAGTTTAATGGGCTTTTTTGCGCGACAAAACTTGGCCCCTACGGCAACCGTCGTCATAGCTGTCCTGCAAGACTTGACCGGGAGGTATAGTATCCAATGTACTCCTGAGATCTTGCATCATATCATCATCTGTTCCAGTCTATCATAATTCATGCAAACGGCGTCTGTTTTGATTTCGAAGACGATGTCAGGCGCTGATTAGGGAGTCCGGGACCAGACAAGCTGAGTTTTGGAAAAACGGGAATTAAAATCTGATGGCACGATGGCAGAAGGTTGCGCTGAACAACGGAGCAAACATTTTTTGACTGAATTTTGCTAAAATTTTGTCATTTCGTTGACCTGTCAAAACTCTACGAACTTAGAAACAACCTAATATATGTGAGCAATCCCAAAAATCTTGATCCCTGAACATCACAAAAGATTTAATCTTGATTTGAGTTCTGGAAATTGGATTGTTTCTAAAGGCTGACATTATTTCGTAACGGCAGTGCACTTTCTTTCGGAATTCAGTTTTCATAATATACTTGTCACGTGAATTGACTATATGACACTCATAAAGTAATTCTTCATTGCACTTCGTAGTGTAATACTCACAGATTTGATTTAATGAGTACCTGCACTGTGTTGCATTTTTCAGACAAGCATTCAAAACGCGATGATTTGTTTTTCTGGCTTTCGTCATATAGTGTCTCAATCGATTTATCTTGCTTTTTTCTTACAAGTAATTGCTGCCTTTCTCATGGACAAGGACGTTGACGTCAACAGTTTTTACTTACATATTTACGCTGGTATCTATCTGAGCGGAACAGTGGACGTAAGGTAAGAAGGAAACACCAGCACTTGCTAATTATAGCTGTCAACAATGTTTGAAAACAAATGGAATGCTCAAAGAAATGGACTATTATACAGATTGCGTTTCAGCTATCCGATTTCACCAAAGGATGTCCCGGTAACAATGCATAAGAACTTGATACAATTCATTTGGTCATTTAACAACACATAAACACCTTTCCCAGAATATACTCAGGGAAGATAACGATGTGAATAGGATTGGTTCCTGAACCTTGCACAAAATTTCGCCAAAATTTGATCTCCGGCAATCACAACAAGTGTTTGATTCGAAATATTCTGAAAAGAAGAGATCACTTTATAGGAGTGCTGGAAAGAGTACATGAAACCGTATCCAAATCAAGGGCCATGGGATTTTGGTGCGTTGCTGGCGGGACCTCCAAATGCGTATTTCGCTTTTATCTTCTAAGACAATTTTTAAAATTCATCTTTTGCAGCAAATGGGCATTTACTTGGCAGGGGCCCAGCTATACTGCTATAAATTTTTACCAGTCTCAATCTGGGTAGACAGTGTCCACTTTCGGTGTCACAATCTACTGCTTGATGTGTACTGATTATATATCTTTACGATCAGTCAGGTTTTTCGAAGTTTGGTTTTGATTTCATCGCGAAGAGAATCTGCATCATAAATATTACACATTCAATAGAGATTTATATTATACTGAAATTTTTTGAAACAAATTTTTGGTCACAGTACAAGGCTTAGAGCTCAATCAGTATCGGGCGTATGTAAATATGGTTTTGGCAAACTGTTGAATCCTGTTTAAAGTTTTATCCATCGATAGAATCAACACAAAAGATTATAGAAGTTCCAGCTTCTATTCGTCTTGAACACTAGGCCTACTCCATAAAAACAATTATCAAATTATACATAACCGCAGAATGGTATGCATGGCAATAAGACCTAATAAAAACGTTAACGAGGATATTACACAAAATCTGAATTGGGTACTACTCCTTCAGGATGAAGGAAAGTATAAGAGCAAATATCACAATCGAGGTCATTAGCGATTAACAATTGAGTTCGATATGTAAGCTAATTGTACCATTACAAGATTATGATGAGATCTTAAGATCTTATGGATTTATCCAAAGAAGCCTAATCCAGGTCCTCCAAAGCCACCGAAGCCGGATCGGCCGAAGCCACCAAAGCCACGATTGAAACCACCACCGTATCCGCCTCGGCCAAATCCACCAAAGCCACGATTGAAACCACCACCGTATCCACCTCGACCGAATCCTCCAAATCCGCGATTGAAACCACCACCATATCCTCGATTGAATCCTCCGCCGAATCCACGGTTGAATCCACCGTAACCTCTGTTGAATCCACCAAATCCACGGTTGAATCCACCGTATCCGCCACGTCCAAATCCACCGTAGCCACCTCGGCCAAATCCGCCGTAACCTTGGTTGAATCCTCCACCATATCCACGGCCAAATCCACCGTATCCTCGGTTGAAACCGCCACCGAAGCCTGGATTAAATCCTCCTCCAAATCCGCGATTAAAGCCACCGCCGAATAGATTGGAGCCAAACCCTCCAAACTGTGCAAAAGTATCAGTAACTAGTAAGAATAGAATAAGTGCGACCAATCGGCTCATTCTGGAAGTGAAAGATTCTTGGACTGGCAACGGTGACAATATGAGGAAGAACGAATTGTGACGCAAATTTATAAGAGAACTCGCATTCCAATAAACAGGTTGTTGTGTCAGCAAATTATGGCTCAAACCGTGCCTAGTGAGCAAAGTTCTAGGTCTTCACGAAAATTGGACAAAGTTTTCATAACAAGGATGTTCTGACAGATTTTTTGTTAGGTTGTAACATAAGTTATGATTTCTTTGTCTACCTCCAAAAAATCTAAAAATTTCGGCAGAGTCTCATATCTGGCATACACGAACAAGGGACAGAGGGCGATTAACTTGCATAATCTTAACATTTAAATATGGGTTACAGTACAGAAGTCAACTTGGCAGCGCTACCTTTATTTCTTCATTTTCTTTCAGTAATTCCCTCAATCTCTATTTTTTTGCTTTCAGATTTTTATGAATTTCTGGACGCGTCAGTGATGATATGGAAGCAGTATGGGTGTTTATGCACTTCAATAAAGCAAGCTGGAAACTTATCAAGAAAATTTCGAAAAAATGCAAACATTCAAAAATTGATTTTTTTTTGTGTGCGACATCTACATATCAAAAAGCTACAATCTTCTATGTAATTAAAAGCGACAAAATTTTTTATGAAAAAGTTAAATTTTTTTCTTCTAGCAAGACGAAACTTATGTTACACCATTCTAATCTTCAGAACCATTACGAAGTATTCCAGTCTAAATCTCTGATATCTATGCACCCTCCGTTTTCCGTTTTTGGACGGTGAACTTGACGGGCGAATGTAAGCACATTCTTTGTACGCGCGGGAATGATGGTCGGGAACGGCAACAATAACTGTTACTTTTAATTTATAGAAAATCTTTGACTTTACCGACTTACTATATTACCAAAATGTAGGAGAGTGGAGACTGAGAAAAATTCTTGAAAGAAGAACCTCGGGAAATGAGATAATGATGACAAACTAGAAACTGTCAGAATTGTTGTTGACAGACCTCAGATTGTTACATCTGAACAATTGTGGAATGTGCATCGATCAACACTTAAGACAAGTTAGTGCCCCACATAGGGCACACGACCGTTTCATAAATAAAACTTGTGTAGCAGCGAATACTTTTCAAGGCCAACACAAACGTTGATAGAGATGATACAAGGACCTAATTTTGTTACCGTTAGAAGGAGCATGCAAACATGCACGAAGCCATGGTTTTCGTGATTGCTTTGCAACGGTTGCTATTTAGTGTTTCAACATTAATTCAGATAGAGCACGAAAGTTTTTGCATGTGTGACTTCTAATATATGAGAGAAGCAGTACTAGGAAGCTTTTTTTATACAAAATTAGGAAACCAAATCATGCAGTTCAGATGAAGTGGGTGGTGGGTGATTTTGTGTTCGCGGGCAACACCCAAAACAGCACTCAAGAGGTATTAGAAGGAATTGTTTTGAATGAGGCAATTTCGCCTCACTTTTGATCGTTTTTGCCAGTTCTAGAATATCGCAACCAAAAAGTGAAGTTTCTATGCAGGATTGCCCTTTTCGGGTAGCGGGATGATCGTCCAAGAGTACCTTTGAAACCTTACTGACTATTTGTATGAATCTAGGGGGGGGGGGGGTAAACATTCGCTTTATAGAGATAGATCAAGATCCTTATGGGATCCGTCATACTTCGCCCAAAAGCGCCGAAAAGCGCCAGAAAGCGCCGAAAAGCACCAGAAAGCCCTGAAAGTGCCAGAACGCCTTCATTAGCGTGCGCACTCTCAACGCTGAAGCCTAAGTTTAAAGACTAGTTCAGCAGTAAACGACCAGTAGTTCGAGAAAACAAACTCTCAGTTTCTCAGAACTCAAATATGAAGAGTTTTGTGATGATGTCATAAGCATAAGTCCACATTTTTGCAACAGAATGTCCAAAACTGTTTCGTCAAGTCAGAATAGCAAGCATTATGCACAACAACATACCTTTTACGCACATAATATTATTTCAGCGTTCACCGGGATAACCTGGTATCCCAAATTAGTTGAAAAAGAATTGCATATGTTCGTAAATAGCTTGAATCACATCGGGAATGCAATAGTTATGAACTTGAGCTGGTATTGACCTTGATTGACAATATCATGTAAATGTGATAATGTATTCGTTTTGATATTGAGTAATGTTCAAGTTGCCACAGTGTAAGGTTCTGGCACTTTTCGACGCTGTTGAGCGCTTCTGTGCGCTTTTGGGCGAGGTATGACAGGTCCCTAAGTGAACCTATCTGCGATTTGATGATCTCACTTTATCGAGCATAGCGATCTCAACACCACATTTGCTAAAGGCAATTTCCCGCAAAGACTGCCGACGTATTGGCTTCTCTCTGCTTGAGCGCTCTTTCGTTTCTCTTACCATCTGCTTCTCTCCCATGCACAAACTGTCTTTGTTAAACGCAACGTGCCCAGTCTTTCCGGGTCATAAATCGTGTACATTTCTCAACATGTAGATGTGTGAGAGCGTAGAGGTAGAATTCCAAACACTAACACATCATTAAATGTTGTTAAATGTATCGATAATATCGATTTCTCGTGAACTAAGGGCCGCATGCATTGACATCCCCGCCGGGGAGGGGATCGCAGCTTAGGCTCCCGCCAGAGTGCCGAAGTTATGCCAGCGCTACGCCAGCATTTCGATCGATACACGTGTATTTTGTTGGGGCGGGGCTAGCTGACGTCCCCAACGAAATACACGTGTATCGATCGAAGTGCTGGCGTAGCGCTGGCATAACTTCGGCACTCTGGCTTGAGCTTTATAGAGAAAGCTTCATTATGAAGCTCCAAACTTCTGGATTCCAAGCTGTCTACCCATCCGTAAGTATTCCTACCATCCTTCACTATGAACATATTGAGCAGGAGCGAGAAGCTGTACAAGCCGCATTTTCCAGCATTTTGTACGATCCCCCGATGATCCCTGGCGTCCTACCGTCTTTTCTTCAAAATTAGCGAAAACATTCCAAAGTTGTACTGTCCATCTAGCCCAACAGCGGTAAGCATGTTGCTGATAAGAACAAATGATGCATTGGAGTCATGAAGTTTAAGATGAACCACAATTCGAATGTTGAGGTTTATCGAGAAATTCGATTTCTCGAAAACTCATCAATTCTTATCAGCAACATGTTCAGCATTGTTGTGTTAGACGTCCAATACAACTTTGGAAGGTGTTGACTTTGAAGAAAGAAAAGTGACTTTGAAAAAAAGACGATTGGCCGCCAGGGATCATCAGGGGATCATACAAAATGCTAGAAAATGCGGCTTGTACAGCTTCTCGCTCCTGTTCAAAATGTTCATAGTAAAGAAAGGTAGGAATACTTACGGAGAGGTATACAACGTGAAACCCAGATATCTGGGGCCTCTGGATATGAAGCTTTCTTGTTAAGCTGCTATCCTCTCCCCAGCGGGGATGTTAATTTAATGCATGCGGCCCGAGGTGGAGGCTTAGAGAGCTGATAGAGGGTTAGTGAGCATGCTAATAACGATAGTAATATCATACTTGATAAGCTCGTATTTACTGTTTCTATCAAATTTTGCAGGTTTTGACCGAGAAGAGAATAGCATGGCTCTGCAAGAGAGTGGCAAATGGACATCTGCGAAAGGAATTCGCCTTTGCCACTTGCCTTTCTTTTGAATTCCTGCTTGATCGTGCCAACCGGTGAATTGTTTAATCAGAGCGCGCTTTCTTCCTCAAGAGGATCGGCGAAATTCGTTGCTATTTCAGATACTAAAAAGGAAGAGAGGAGGAGCTTTGAATACATAGTAAACTTCAGTTTCAGCAAATTTATGTAGGAAATCCAAAAAACTTAAGTAATTGGAAGTTTTCTTTACCTCAGGTGGGCAATAGGTGGGCAACTGCCCAATTGATTTGCATGAGTTTCTCATCATTTTCATACTTTGTTCCTTAGTCCACTGCTCGAATACACGCAAATTCGTGCCATATCGTCATCTGTGCATTACAACGAGTCATTTTCCCATTTTCTGTTAGTGTTGTGAAAGTTCCAAAAAAAGCTCGCCGCGACCTCTCTTCACGTAATTTTTCCATAATACTTTGCACTAAGCCTCCCTAGCACTTGTCCGTTTATACTCCAAATTCGTAGTCATATCGATGTTGGCTGTAAACGAGGCAGTTGATTACCACTCAACGGAAAATTTGAGATTTTCGAACGTGACAGGGTTGACCTTTTTTCGCGTGTCAGTCGTGTAGAACTTGTCGAGAAAGTGTATGTACACGTTAGCGTATATTTACGACATCCCCTTTGATTTTTTTCCTGAAACATTTTCCAGCCTGACATTTGCCATCCTCATGCGGGGCCCTGGCGGATAGTCGGTACATGGGAGGTGGAAGTGAGCTTACTAGAACATAATGGGGGCAGGGATCTGACAAAGCAACTGGGAAGACAAAGAATTATCGCGTGGAAGTGAAGAATGGTAGTCTTTATCATATCCCATTTCTTACCCTAAAGATAGCTGCACAAACGCAGCAGCTTATCGTGGTGGCGCATCTTTTCACAGCCCCTGTGGGAAAGGAGGGGAGGAGGGGAAGAAGTCACGTCACTCTTTCCTAATATTGTTTTTCTATAACCTTGGTCTTCCGACGCATGACAGCGGCGGATGATCGGCTTTAACATGCTCTCTAATTCCTATGTCTTTTTAATCATAGCAATTGAGTAGAAGTCTGCCACTTTTACCCACTACCACCTGCGTATTGGAGCCCGGCACAGACCAGATATGAAAGTAGGCTAAACTTCGTTTTTTTGGTGGGAAAGCAAAAGAGATATCGTTTTTGTGGTCAAATGCTGCGACTTTTTTAGTCGACGTTTCCTTGTATGTTTTTACGTTTAGGAATGGGAGTCGAAGAGGACTTTGCAAAATTTCGCGAAAGTCAAGGGGACTTCGTTTTCAAGAAGCCTAGAAACGAACTCATGCTGGACCCTGCTGCGTGTCCTAGTATTTTGCATTTGCAGTGCCTACAGCAATTGGGCGGAAATATTGCTACGCTTGTTCTGCCTTCAACATCTTAGCGTGAAAAATTAGCGCTAAGCACATATTTTAAGTTTCGCGCTCCATGGCAGATTTTCTGTAATAGCAATGCAAGAACACTTCATACAATTCTCAGAACTTCTAGAGTATGGAAGCAGTTCTTGATCCAGTGATTGACATCATTCTCGTTTCTAAACAGATCCGGACAGGACTGTACAAAGATCAGAGCGCTGTTTACATTAAATCTCTATATATATATATATATATAAAGCAGAAAATCTGTGAGTTTGTTTGTACGCATTCGGGTGCAGGTTGTGCAGGATGTGCAGGATGTGCAGGATGTACAGGGTGTGCAGGATGTGCAGGGTGTGCAGGGATGTGGAGGATGTGCAGGGTGTGCAGGATGTGCAGGGTGTGCAGGATGTGCAGGGTGTGCAGGATGTGCAGGATGTGCAGGATCAGGGATGTGGAGGATGAGCAGGGTGTGCAAGGTGTGCAGGTGGGCAGGGTGTGCAGGATGGGGAGTTTAGACTGAACGATTGGCTCCAAACCGGAGTGAAACCCGGGATGCCTGCTCGTCCTTCCATAAGTTGGTAGCGTTTTCATTTTCGTCCTCGGATCTTCTAGGAGCGGTTGATTTGCCGCAAGATTGTATATCATTGGAAATAGTGGATCACTTTCTTTGAATCGTACTAACTGATTCTGATGGGGAGCAAATTTAATCCGATTAGCTTCCACGTAAATCTCAGAAAGCAAAAAGATAGATTTTCGGCACTTGATAATTTCTGCATAAAAAAGAAAGCGTTCTTTGCACCGTTTATTAGTGTTTGCGCAAATTGGCGTTCGCTCGTAGTTTGAAATAAAAAGAAATCAGTTTGCTTCAAGAAGGGTTAATCAGGGGTGTCCCTGAAGAGGATTTTTCGGGGTGGGGGAGGGCAGGACGTCTTCCACTGAAAACTGCTGAAGAAGGCGGTCCACCAGCCGTATGCAGCGCAGCTGCACCGTTTCAGGGTCATACTGCAAAAATCCCAAAAGACAGATTCAGTGAGTCTTTCTGCATGACGAAACATGACGTCATATGGCAAATGTCGTGAAAACTGTTCTGCGAGATTCGACAAGAAGGTGCTTCATTACCCAACGTACTCCCCAAATCTGCTTTATCAGATTATCATTTGTTCCGCCCCCAGCAAATCATATGGACGGTGCATGCCTCAATTTTAAAGAGTAATTTAAGCGCTGGTCAGATCACTTTCTTCAAACCCAGCGAGCTGCTTTTTGAAAAATTGAGATTGAATGGCTGACAGGAATAAGCCATGCGCTACATCGGTATTGTAATATCGACTGTCTTTCATTGAAATGTGATGATCCTGTCGGTTTATATAAAGGATAGGAACTTATGGAGCGACCTAATAAAGTGGATCACTTTTTTGCTAGAATGTCGGTAAAACGTTAACTTTCCGATCTTTTCGCATTTTATCCTAGTCTTCCACATTGTGAAAAAACTTGGCGCAGATGTGTTGAGAATAGCTACTGAGTTCATATTTAGCTTGGAATTCAATCAAAGATTGTGAGAAGCACTCAAAAAGTAGCTTCGATGTGTCAACTATAGAATGACATCAAACAGACGGAAATACATTTGACTATGGGAGCGCTGATGGAAATAGAAATTCCCAGAAAGTTTTGCGGGAAACCGACGCTATGACAGCCCGAAACATATCGCCGCAGTAGATGGGTCAAAGCCATTTATGTTCCTTTTTTGGAAGATGACCGATCCTGTTCACAAACATGCAGAGGCGGATTCATGCGGCCTACATAAACGTTTACTTTTTCCCACCATTACCGTCTTCAGTCACTTTACAACGTTTCTGCAAGGCTACGATGTGTAACTTGTGACGTAAGCATGTCTTCACGTCAAGAAGGAACTTATATCTTTTCAATTGATGATTCGAACAACTATGAATGGTCATGGAATGATTTAGTCAGAAGCAGATCAACTCCGGCATGTTAGACCATTGAGCGGTCAACTTTCCATTCTATGAGATGTTTCAAAAAAGTATCGAGTGCTTGTTCGTAAATATCCCCCTTGTCTTTATAAGCTTCGCCGATGTTCAGGTGCTTATTGTAAAGTTAGTTTCAGCTAAGATTCAATGGACAACGGAACTCTATAGTGGCTCCATCATTTTAGGCTTATATGGTGCAAACTTTTAGATTTTTTAGGCTTTTGAAAGCAAATTTGAGCTCCAAAGATCGTCTAAGAAAGAAAAAATTGTAACAAAAAGAAAAAACTTTGCTAGTGAAGAATTTATTGTCTTTGGCATAAGATACTTCATCGTAAACCTTGACTCATGAGTTACGTTAAACATGCCGTAAGCTGCATACCCAAGCATCATAAATGCAATTACACCATCCAAATTGTTTTTTGGCAGATGAGTCACCATTTTGCTGCACGTTCCTATCGTAATTTACAATAATGAAAAAATTTGGTATTTCGCTTGTTTGCAAATCCAAGCTGAAGCCAGTCTTATATGTTTCCTGAAGTTTCGCTAAAGCTCTTCGTACAAGGAAGTTATGAACGATTAAACGTTCAATGCATTTCTTGGACTCCTTGTATTTCACCTCCCTTCTGCAACACTAATATTATTGAGTGTTAGAATAGCCAATGTGTTTGGAAAGTGTGCTGCATATAATACATCACATAAGTAAGGTACCTTTTCATATTCACTGGAAGAAAACGTTTCAATTGCTTATAGTGTCAGATCAGAGGCCTGAAACTATGGTTTAAAGTGTGAAGTTTGCCAGTTCCATTTGGACTGTGCAATGGTACCGAGCAACCGTCGTAGAAGAGTGCAATAATGCGGATTAACAAACGAAATCGTCATTTGCCGCAATTTTTTTGGTCGAACGGCCAGAGTGATTAACCATGTTTCTGTACAGCTTAGTCTAATAACATTCAAAAGGCTTCTTGTTGCTGTCTTCTCACAAAATGCTTTGTCATGAAACACTTCTAGAGCTTTTGGATCAAGCATGGACCTTAAATGACTTGCTGAATATAAATCGGTACTCATTGCATAACTTAAGTCTGAATGATTCTATAAAAGCTCTTATATTCCACAGAGCTTTATCTTTGAATGAAGAGAAATATTGAATTGCTCGTGACCGGTGCAGAAACGTGGAAAACCCAGGCAGGCCTCTCCGTTGAGTAGACATCATGATGATTAACAGCTGTCCAATCATTTCATCGACCTACCTGTTCCAGCACTGATTGAGTAGAAGTCTTTTCCGTTTGACGTAAATCAACAAATTGTGAGATCGCGCACTTACCGAAAATTGCCACCGCAAAAAAAAAAGCAGTGGCGATCTTCCGCGTATTGATTTGATTCTCGATGTAAATGTTTTGAAGTTAATGTTACAATTTATTCCATTCAGAGTGCTTTACTTGAAAACCGCCTCTCTGTCCTTGTTACGCTTTAGGCACTCCCCAAACCCAGGCTGAATCTCTTATCAGCGTTACCTGCTGCGAGTGAATCTATGGATTTTAGCAGAAACTGACGCTTTTTGCATGAGTATGTATGAAATGATTGGAAGGGTGAGTTGAACGGGATTCCTTTGGTATAAGGCCAGTGCGTTTCTATTCTCGCCAAACTCAGTCTTGCTAAAATTATGAAAATTATTTCGAAAGTCAGAACATATTCACATAGACAATCTCAATCGTGATATTCCTACATTGATGTTATGAGGTGACTGAATGAGCTAAGGGATGGCATGTCCGTAAAAAACCTATGGTCTCCACCTGGCCAGGTAAGTATTCAGACTTAAAGGCAGTATCCAGGCAAATCTGGACCTATGGGGATTTTTGGAAAATAATTTTGGGGCCTAACTAAGGCACTGCCCAAGCGACTCACTAACGGCTGAGATATACACCACATATCATGGCGCAAACCATCGGTTTCACGTGGGTCCTCCAGTATCTTTCCTAATAAGTTGCAGATTATCAAGCTGTTCTACATCATTTTGGCGCCTTGTCTCATCACTGCAGTTTTTTTCTTCACTGACTTTAAACGTTAAGCCGAAATGAATGCATTCTAAAATTTTACAGACTGTTGAAGTGCGCCAAATAGGTTTCAAGTCGGGCAAACAATTTTATACAACAAAGCATCAAAGATTCAAAAGCGAATAGAATGTGTGATTCATAACGCACAATTTCCTCAGATTTATCACGCAACACCTTTGTCAGCGCGAGGTACAGGAGTAGCTTATGTCGAATAGCAGTCACAACACCTAGGTTAAGCTGTATATAATACATCAACATTAGCATGAGTGGTTGTATGTAGAGTTCAAATAGCAACAAGTGTAGCTGTATCAGCAGAAATGAGGATTGGTATCACGAACTAAGTTGGCGTGTATCTTGATTGAACGATCATAATCAAAAAGAAAAAGTATTTACGTAAACACTTTAGAGCTCTTGCTCTTGCACTATCTCTTAGCCACCTCCACCTCGTCCACCGCCACCTCCACCTCGTCCGCCGCTACTTCCACCTCGTCCACCGCCACTTCCACCTCGTCCACCGCCACTTCCACCTCGTCCACCGCCACTTCCACCTCGTCCACCGCCGCCTCCACCTCGTCCACCGCCTCCTCCACGTCCTCCACCACCTCCTTCACCATCACCTCGTCGTCCTTTTCCGCCACCGCCACCTCGACCGCCTCCTCCCCGCCTCCTCCTCGTTCGTGTGGGACCAAGGAAACCTGGTCCTAAGGGTCCAAAACCAGGTCTAGGCAAGAATGGTACTGGAAAGAAGGGACGTGGAGGAGGCGAGTGTATCCATCCCCATTGTGCTGATGTGATTGCTATATAGAGTGAAGGGAAGAGGGTAATGAGAAGAAATCGCATCCTAAATATTATAGCTGGTAAAGAAAAATGTTCATTAGTGCGAGAGCGTACCTGGAGGAATCAATTTATGAATGTTTTCCTATATGCTGTTCCAAAAAACGTAGGTAAACCTGTGAAAATATAACGTTTTATTATTCGAACAAATGTACACAGATGGTTTAGAATGACGCAAACTTTAGATCCAATGAGGATTAACGAGAGTTTCTGCACGGAATGAGTCCATTTTAATGCCTTCAAATTGATCGGAGAAGTTTGAAATTGTCTAACTGGATTATGAAGATATAATCTGCAGCATAAAACTGTGCGATAAAGTAGAGGTCAAGCCTATCCAGGTAATGTAAATTTAAAATGCACACGAAAAATCATGGAAATCAATGACGACCTTGTTTGGTTCCAAGGCTAAGTATATATACATTCCTTTTTACTTGTCTTCGCTGAACAATCACGTGGACTACAAATTGCAGCACTTCCCGATTTGCTTTTTCTCCCGTTTTGAGTTTTCAACGAATTTCAACTTCGCAAAACAGGGTGCAGTGCTGTTCTCCAGTGCCTACGTGTGACTTAGGATTCGAAATTGATTAGTATTGGGTTAAAAAGAAAAATGCCGTTGTTTATTTCATTCTTATGGCACCACAACAAGGCGAACCTTGCTGTATTAGGAGTATTTTTGATAGAGCAAAGCAAGCTCTATAAGGTAGCATTCATACTTTTGCACCCAGTTCAATTCATATAAAGTTTGTAGCCAGAATCTGAAATATTTCAAGAAAAGAAAAAATAAGGAAATGACTGGGGTGTTCCTATATAGATAGTGTCAGTCTTTAGAGTATGACCATGCATTTTCAGCCTTCTATGAGCTTTAGTTTTGAGGAACATCAAATTTAGCAAAAAAAAATTTTAACAAAATCCAGCTTCCTCACGCATATCGCATTCATATGTACAGTTGCTTATGTTTCCATACCCGGAAGCCGAGTAAATAGGAAACACAAAAATCAGGAATAATCCCGCTAAATAATCCCGCTAATAAAGACCCGCTCTCTGGGTCTTTATGCTAAATTCAATGTTTCTCAAAAACAAAAGCTCATGGGAGGGCTCCATGGTTGTACTCACAACACACCATAGACCTGTCTATGTAGAAACAGCCCTTCATAGCTTTGACCAAAACAAGCAAATTTTCATTCTCTGGATTCTAGCAGAAAAAAATATAAAAAAATAGCATATCAACTAATCGTATGCTCGGGCACGTTAAAGGTCCGTAGGATTTTTTTGAGCGAAGGTCCGATTTTATTATTATTTGGACACTCAGAACATCTCAGACTCTGGCTACAAGCTTGTGAATTAGTCTTGCAAAAGTATGGATGCTATTCATAGAGCTTACTTTGCTCTATCTTAAGTACCTCTCATACATTCTCAAGGCTCGCCACATTGCGGTGCCGTGAAAAGATACCAAAAAAGAAAAATTCTTTCTTTCCCCCTAATAAATTCACAACACCATTTTGGCTTTTTTTTTCTATCGCCAATAACGCCACTTCCCTATGTCCAGCGCACAAAACTCAGAAATGTTCAATAAAAAATCAAAACAAGTAGGAGTTAATAGACATGCCGATTCCATACGAAGAACCCATTCTACGGAACAAAAAATTATTGTGAATTAATGACAGAAAAGCTAGCTAGTTTGCCAAAGGTCTCTCCATTGAGTAGACATCGTCTTCTAATTTCAATCTTATGCGCTCAGGGAGTTCCAAAAAGATTACCTATATAGGAAGGGATTTTTGTAATGGTAACAGCCCGCACGGGCGCGGGCAGTGGCACCAGCGACATAGGAAGCCAAGCTGGTGATCGGGCTCCTGTCTATTGCAGAATATGGTGCGATCTGGCAAGTTCGGCCATGTCGGGCACGGAGACCGACTTGTCGAGAATGGGCTATGCTGCCCGACTGCCATGCCCGACATGGCCAAACTTGCCAGATCGCACCACATTCTAAGTGATAAACAGGGTTTAGCGTGGGGTCAGGCGCGCCCGACCTGGGGGATCGTATTGAGGGTAAGACTGAGGGGGGGGGGGTCGTATTTAAGAATCGAATTTATTAAGTTGGGGAGATACTGTGAAGGTGGAGAAGAAACGCGCTAGTCCGGTGGATATCGCGATCACATGAAGGAATAACGGTCATAAACAGCATATTGACCACAATGGAAGCTTCAGCCAAAATTCAAATCTTCTTCTCTTTTACCTTGACTATGAGGTAAACAAGGGAGCTTGCTGTGTGAAATGGGTATCATTTCCATAGACAGCATGTCAAATTACCTCTATGCGCTCTACGAACCATTAGCTACTGCAGTTTCTAGTGTTTCTCAACCCCTGAAAAGCGGGATTTTCAAACGTGATCAACTTGGTTTCAGAAGTGAGAAAAGTCAGCTGTTGTATACTCATAACAAAGTAATGTTCTCTACAAGTCTATGCGACAAATCGGACTTTATATCACTTCCAAACAGTGAAGTAAGAAGTGCTGCCAAAATTCCAACCGGCGCGTTCTTCACGTTGAGTGCTTCAACTTCTCGGATTAGCACAAGGCCGAAACAAGTCGGATCAAGCTCAAATACTCACTGTGGAATCTTCGAGGATTGAGTTAGCGCATCACATAAAACTTGGGTAGAAAAGGTTTTTCGGAAATAAAGTTAATGGGGTCAGGCGCAACCCCTCAAAAGGTCAGGCCGCCTGAGCTTTTGAGGGGTTGCGCCTGACCCTCTTAACTTGCCTTCAACATTCAAAAATCGCCCCTTTTTTGATATGAGTATTGAGCGCAAAGCCTCTTCTTGTTATATTGAAAATTTGAAGCCAAGCACGCCACTCCTGTGAAAATTATAGCTTTAAAAAGAGGACTATCCAGATCTAAAACTTGCCGTCAAGTTGCGCGTGGTTGTGCAATCGCAGAAAGTCGGGCCTACAGACTTTTAAAAAATAGAAACCTGCAGTGAGGGCTCGTCTTCTTTAAAATATAACACCCTAAGGACTTGGAGGTGAAGCGGAGGGTCGTTTAGGGGCCTTCACAGGGGAGTGGGGTCGTTTTTGAAGGACTTGTGCCTGACCTTTTGCTCAACCCTGGTGATAAATCACGCGATTGGCGCTCCGCCTGTCCGGGCACCTTAGTAATGGCCCGAACAGCGAGTGGGAGATTGGTAAAGAAATACCGCTCAAGAGTACCGTCCCGTACAGCGCACACACTCATAACAGTTGGGTCCCATAGCAACAGTGCGTCTCTAGCCTTGCCAGGCTTCGCGCCCTAACGTCCTCATTCGAACCTGAGGCCTTCAGTAAAAGCCAATTTTCGACATTTTCGAACTCTGCAAGATGCACGGTCGGAATCGCTGGGACGGATAAGCTCAGGTAAGCGGAAAATTTCCAAATTCAAGATTTTCTGACAAGCTGCCTTCAAGTTCTGAAAAGAGCTCAACCTGCGAAAAAAAAAAACAGTTAAACAGTGTTCCTTTGGAATAACCGAGCAAACTGTACCTTCAAACATTATCCGTGTTAACAAGACTACTGATCTGATGACAAAATTGCGCTAAAAATTTTTTGGCAAGAATTAGTTCGTTATGCAAAACTTCAGTTGTTCCTTGTTGTTCATTCATTCCGCTGACCTACTTGTCCCGGCAGTGACTATGCAGCGAATTCTTTTTGTGTGGCAGCCATTTCCTGCGTATTGATCTTTTCCCGATGCAAACTCTTTGAACTTGGTCGTTTTTTTGGGGTGTAAAGTCGGAACGATTCTTTTGTCCTAATTTTGTTTCATATACTCTTAAACCAACACTGAATCTGTTGACAGCTTGGTCTTGTAAGCGGATGGAGTTTCAGCAAGAAATAGTGATCACGTTTTGTTGCAATTACAAAACTTGCAATTCTAATGCGAGATTTCATTTGAGTTTTGTTGCAAGTTCAGGCAAGAGCATGCTTGTACAAATCGCGAGAGACTGTTTTTCACCAGCTTTTCAGCAATACCACACTACTTGGGAAATTCTAGTTCTACGGACATACTTGATATGAGTGAGGTGGAAGTCATCCCTGCAAAACACTTCTACTGGAAATTCTCACAAGGGAAGTCACTTAACTTAGGTCGGCCTTTTAAAATGAAACATATATTTAGAGTCAGCTCGGAACGCTGATTCCAAATATGATGTCCTTAACTGCGAAGCATTCCTCCAAAGCGAGTTAGGAGGTTTTTAGTATGTGTAATTGACGTATGACTGAATATGGAAAGAAGGCCTTTGATGAAAATCTGCCTAAAAAAGTGGTGGGAAATTGAAATAACATAAACTGACTAATTTGGCTTTGATAGGGTGTTGTATGCATTTGAACTACTACCTGGATGACGATACCGTAGCATGGTATCGTCATCCAGGTGCCTAAGTCGGTCAGGACGCAAACTTGCGTAGGAAAAAGCTCCTAACTCGCTTCAGAGGAACGCTTCGCAACTAAGGACAGCATGTTTGGAATCAGCGTTCCGAGCTGATTCTAAATACATGTATCTCATTTTAAAAGGCCGACCTAAGTTAAGTGACTTCCCTTGTCAGTTCCCACGACTTCAACAGTATCTGAGCTTTTATGGTTTCAGAGTCTGCCCGAAGCTGTGCTTAGAGATTTGAAAATCATTCTGGAATATCCAGAGTAACAAGAGTGAACTCCATTCTATAAGCAAAGTCGTTCTTAGATCTCATTTATGGACCATCCTATTTGCGCTAAAACTTACGCCTCTGAATGCAAAAAAGTGCGATCATGACTCCAAAGTTTACCATTTGACATTTAAACAAAAAAATTATTATGCAATTATAGTGATCCTGTTCATAATATCAAATAGTAGTATAATACTATACTAAATTAGAGTATAATTACTGTACTCTATTGGTATAATACTATACTATCTATATAATACTGTATAATACTTCGTTGGAAACTAATTTTTGCAACTTTTTCATCAAATCCCCTTTCTTTCAATAATGGGGGAGTTATCTGATATACAGTTTACGAAAACGATACTGAAATCGCATGGTACATGCTTTCTTGTGAGATTACTGAAGATTTCTGACGTGGAGTTTTAAGAAAAGAGACGTTAATTCAACAAATGAGTGTCTAATCCTGTTCAGCAGGTCAATCCCATTAGGGAGAACTCGGCTGCTCATTGACGGTTTTATTCAGCAGTGTTGCGTAGAGCAACTCTTTTGGAAGGGTACCAGATCTCGACTTGCCT